TTGTTCGAAGGACTTTAGATTGAAAGGATTGAATACGTTTGATGTTAGAAGCTTTTGCTGTACCCCACAGTTCAAGTCCGTATGTCCATATAGGTTTCAGTATTGTCTTGTAGATAAGTAATTTGTTTTCAATAGAAAGTTTGGATTTTCTGTTTAGTAGTCTGTATAGCTGGCCGTATCGTCGGTTGAGTTCTTGTCTTTTGAGTCTAGTATGTGGGTTCCACGTCAGTCTTCGGTCTAAATGAAAGCCAAGATACCGGACTGTGTCTGAGTAAGGAAGCTGGATGGAATTAAAGTGTACTGGTGGACAGGAACTGCGTCGGAGTGTAAAGGTAATGTGTTGGCATTTAGATTCATTAACTTTAATGCGCCAGTTATTACACCAGTGCTCAATCAAGGTGAGGTGGTTTTGGAGATTTAAGGATGCTATGTTGGGATCTGAGTCGGATGATAGAATAGCGGTGTCATCAGCAAAAGTTGCCAGGAAGGTATCGGGATGGACAGGGATATCGGCGGTAAAGAGGATGTAAAGGACGGGACCCAATACGCTACCTTGAGGAACACCTGCCTCAATTGGATAGCAATGCGAAAATTCAGTACCGCAACGAACTCGGAAGGTACGATCTGAGAGGTAGGAACGGAGAACAAGGTACAAGGACTGAGGAAGATAGTTTTTCAGCTTGGAAAGAAGCCCTGCGTGCCATACCCGGTCGAAAGCTTGAGCTATGTCCAGAAATGCACCCGAGCAATATTGCTTGCTTTCCAATGCTGCGGAAATATGATCAACCACTCGGAGTCCTTGTTGGACTGTAGAGTGTTGTGAACGAAATCCGAACTGATGGGAAGGAAGAGTTTGGGATTCTATAAAGGGTAGGATGCGTTTTAGGAGGATCTTTTCAAAGATTTTTGAGAGAATAGGAAGAAGGCTAATTGGTCTGTAGGACGTTGAGGTGTTGGGAGGTTTGCCTGGTTTCGGAAACAGGATAATAGTGGAATGTTTCCACAAAAGAGGAAAGTGGGTGGTTCGTAGGATGCTATTGTATATGTATGTAAGGAATATGAGAGCTTTAGGAGGGAGTTGTCTAAGGATCTGAGAGGTAAGCAGGTCGTATCCAGGTGATTTACGGGTAGGTAGTTTTTGTAAAAGGAATTTGACCTCAGAAGGATTAACTGCTTTAGGTGGTAAGGAGAGTGGGATGGGTGAATTAAGGAATTCCTCTACTGCTGACGTGTGGGTGGGATTGGATTCTGGATGAGAGGTGAATGTAAGGGAAAGGTTTTTGGCGAATTCTTCGGCTCTATCTTCGTCAGAAGCTGCCCAAGAGCCATCACCTCGATGGAGAGGATGTGATATGTGATGGGGTTTTAGGATATGTTTGGTGGTCTTTCATAGGGAATTGTCATGAGAAGAGAGGGAAGTGAGGTAGGAGTTGAAGGATTGGGATCTGAAGGTGGCCAATTCTATCTTTAGTTTTTTGCAAAAATAATTATAGGATTGGCGATCGGTGGGGTGTCTAGTACGTTGCCATAATAATCTGGCACGGCGTTTGGTATGGATTAGGTCTATGAGGTGTTGAGGTAACTTATTTTTCTTAGGAGTTCTTGAGGAGTGGTTTGGAAAGGAAGCAGTCCAGATTGCTTGTTGGATAGTGGTGGTAAAAAAGTGTACGGTATTGTCAAGGTCATCTGGGGTTTTCAGGGTCATTCTGAGGTCAATTTTATCGGTAAGGATTTGGTGAAAGAGTTTCCAGTTAACTGGGCCTCTAATGAAGGACGGTGGAGAAGACTTAGGAATAGGAGCTAGAGATAATTGGAGTAATAATGGACTATGATCTGAGGATAGTTCGCCAAGAGGGGTAAGGGAATGATTGAGGGGACCTAAGCCACTGTGGATGAAAAAATCAAGGATATCGGGATTGCGGTTAGGATCTGTGGGCCAGTAGGTAGGTGAGTTGGGTGGAAGGAGACTGAAACGTTGGGTATTGAGTGCAGACAGAAATGTTCTGCCACGAGAATTCGTGGTTCTTGAACCCCAAACTTGATGCTTGGCATTTCTTTCTTCTTTATGTGGCAAAACACATAATAAATGATTAGAAATAAGTTATTGACTTATTTTTTTTAAAATGAGGTGTTTTACATTGGATGACTGGAGTGTTTCTCAATTATCTATCTCTGATAGATTAATAGACAAGCTCAATCCCACAATTAATTTTGATACAAAAAATATCCTTTTTGAGTAAATAATTTTATTTCTTTAATGAAACAGACATTTGCTTTTTATTTGTGTATGAGTTTCAATTTTATCTCAGTTTTCAGAATTGATCTTTTAAATCAATTTTAAGGGTTTGATAATGGGGTGTTTTTCTTACTAATATGATTGTTATTTTTGATTGTATGTTTTAAGTTCCATGGCATTTTTAATATTGTACTAGTTGTCATTATTAAAATTATCTAGGCTATGGTTGAGAAATTTTGATAGAAAGTAAGTAGGCTACCTTGATGTCTCAACTGCTACACTTCATCCAGCTTGCACAGGACCCATGAACCAAGCTTTTTCACCTTTCCAATCAACTTTTTTTATTAAAGAAATTTATAACTGTAATTAATAATAAATACAACAAGTAACATGACATGTACAACATGAAGAGAAACTACCCATTGGTAGCACTCCAATCCAATCAACTTTAAATTCTAGAAATGGACATTTGATTTGTACCTAAATCTGACTGTTTTATGAGGTTTTTGTTCCACAGTTTGCTTAAGATCTTCTTCCTCGATTGGTATTAGAGGTTATCCACAAGATAGATTCTTCAGTGTCGCATCTCCTGAAGGAAATTTAGAAAACCGACTATGAATGGTTTTTTTATTTGAACTCCCTTCACCAAAATCTTAATCAATATTCCTTGCTACCTAGGCAGGGGAATGAATAAGCTTGAACTCATAAAAATAGTACATAAATTTTGTGTTTTCTTTGTCATGTTTGAAATGGAACTAAAATCTCTATGCCAACTTGGGAATTAGTATTATTATGTAATACACAACAAAAACTATTAGTAAATAGAGGATTATCAAGTATTTATTATAGATCGTATATATTTTGCTAAGAATCAACAATCATTTTAATACTCCCTAAACTTAAAGATTTAAAAAATCTGACATTTCATGTGTGACAACCCTATATAATACATACTTGGTCATAAAAATACAAGTACTTTGGTGTGACATAATATGAAATCACATTATTTTTTTACATAACTATCGGTGAAGTTTATTGAACAAGAAAGTTTTTCTAATAATAGGGTAATTTGAATCGAGTTGGAGGATGATTAAAAAAAAAAATTGTGAATAATCAATGATTTTATGGAAAACAGAACTTAAAGTAGTTAAGACACGGCATAATTAAATTTAAAAGTCCCTTTTAAATAGTTTTATCAAATCAAACTCTAATTTCTTTTAAATTAAATTTTGTCTAACTTAATAAGAAGCAATTTTTCATTACCTTAATCAAATATTTTTTTATTTATTGCTTCATTTTCAACAAAAAACTTGACTTATTTAAAAAAAAAAAACTTAAATTTCATACTTGTCTTCGAAAAATTGGACCATTGTTTATATAATTTTTTTTTTAACTCTTGAGATCTGCTATCACTCCTTTAAAGTTTCCCTTTGCTTACGGGAAACCCTCTGTGTATACTCACTTATCTAGGGTCAGATTTAAACAAAGAAAATAAGATGTCGAATGAAGCGAGTAAAAGCATAATATCAGCCAAAGCTATTTTAAGGTTTTTTAAGGCATAAAATTTATCTGTACTATCTACGAAGCTTTCATTTCATTCTGAATATATGTGCAGTAATATATATGCAGAGGCGTATGCATGTTACCAGAAGGCCTCGACAATGCGTGTTCAGTATTGAAGGTAAGATGACTGAGTGGATGAAGGAAAATGAATAGATGGATTGACCTTAAGTGTCAGATGGATCAGCACCCGAACGACTCTTGGTCTGCATCAATCTCCTGACTTAGTATTTAGGACTACAAGCGGACGGATCAGCATCCTACTTGCATGGAGTAAGAGAAGAGGAAAAAGGATATTGTTAAATAAGAAAAGCAGACTAAGGTGAACCAAAAGCGTATATGAGACATGTAGTGACCATCTGCGTAAAGGTCTACACCCTGAAGGGGTGGAGATCCTAAGATCTAACAATTTGAGATTTGACTGTTGTATTCATTCCACCAAGACTAAACCGGCTACCAATGTTATCTTCTTTAATTTCATTTCTTAATTTGTTGTTATCTTATTTCGTTTCAATTCTATTTTTTCAAATTTCATTTAGCAAAGATGCCATTAATGTGTTCATCGAAATATCCTTTTCTTGTTTATTTTGGGAAACAAGGGAAGCATTGTTTATCTCGAACACCTGAACTTCATTGTTATAACCTTCATCTGTACTTCCGCCCACCATTTTCGAGTTCAAGGTGTTATTCTCATAACTTGCAGCAAACACATATATAAATATATAAATATTTATATATATATATAAGCATATATATATAAATATTTATATATATAAGCATATATATATATATATATATATATATATATATATATATATATAATGAATGATAATTACTTTGGAAGAAAAAGAAAGAAACTGACTACCTATATGGAATGGTTTTATATAATTCTTGATGTTCTATTAAAATGTAATTACAAGAACAATTATACTTTTAGAGATAATTTTTCATGAAACATGGTTTTATATATATATATATATATATATATATATATATATATATATAATGAATGATAATGACTTAGGAAGAAAAAGAAAGAAACTAACTACCTATATGGAATGGTTTTTATGTAATTCTTGATGTCCCATTAAAATGTAATTACAGGAACAATTATACTTTTAGAGATAATTTTTCATGAAACATGGTTTTATATATATATATTTTGTAGTTTTGAAATACCACATGATTTTTATCTGTTTTGTAGGTCTGACAATGCCAAACCACCTTGGATTGCAGCCTCTGGGTTGGATGGTTCCAATATTCACCATATCTTCAACCTAACAGAAGGAAGTGTTGTGAATGATATTACTCTCGATTATGATGTAAGTATTAATCCTTACATCCTTTGAAATAATAATTTCAAATATGCAGTTAATTATAACAATCCCAAACAGAGCTTTCTTCTCTTTTTCTAATGTATTGAAATCCTGAAAAAAATAACTATAGGAATCTCGTATTAAGGGTGTACTGTGCTATGATAAACTCAGCACATATATATATATAGCTGTGAGGAGGCCTGGACACTATCCAGGCTTTTTCAGCATATTTCAATGACAGAATTAAGAAGAAACAGAACTAACAATCTTGTTAGTTGTTATACCAATTTCTTGAACCAGTTCAAGGAAACCATTCCACCTCTGGAACGGTTCGGAATGGTTCCACTCTGAATGGTCTTTCTCATTCCATGTGGCCTTGAATTCCACTTATGGAACGGAAATGTGACTGTCAGCTAGTCACTCAGGGTGATCCCTATAATGTGGAGGGAGAAGCTACAATCGGACTTAATCATTGTGCAGAAAAAGGAGGTAAGCTAAAGGTACACATAGTAGGAAACATGACTCGAGAGTACCAGGCAATAGTAGGTTGTGACCTGTTGGGGCAGGTAGGGACGAGAGTCTAAAACAGCCAAAAGGTTTAGTGCATTAGGCTGAGAAATAGGAGAGCACAAGAGATAGGAGGGTGTGGATAGGAGCGGTGATCAGGGTCAAGAACTGGAGAAAAGGGATAAGATCGGAATTTGAAGATATTTTCTTCAAAGAGGGCGAGGTATTGGGATTTACGGGGAGGACGGTCCATGAGATAAATGAAAGGAGATACCTGCAGGCGCTGAGGCAGCATATTTGGGAAGAATTAGAGAGTTTGAAGAAGCAAGGGGTCATGGTTGATAGTACCTCACCATATAATAGTCCTCTGTGGCCAGTGAGAAAGAAGGGAGTGTCGGGGGAGAATAAGGAAAAATACTGGGTGGTAATAGACTATCACAAACTAAATGAGAATACATTGCATGAAAAATATACGATTCCCAGATTGAGGACATATTGGACAGGTTGAGCGGAGCAGTGATATTCAGCACATCAGATCTCAAAGCGGGATATCATCAGATAAAGATGCACCCAAAGGATCAACATAAAACGTCATTTACATTCGAAAGGGGTCACTACGAATTTACCAGAATGCTGTTTGGCTTAAAAATGCTACCATAACGTTTCAATGCCGGATGGAATAGTTTTTGAGGGGTGTAGATAACAAGGTATGCCAAGTCTATATAGATGTTCTGCTGATATTTAGCAAAACGGAAACCGAGCATTGGAACATTTACAATTCCTATTCAAAAGACTACGTCAATTCGGACTGAAATTTTCAAGGGAAAAATCTTTGTTGGGACAAACACAGATTAATTTTTTAGGCCACACAATTTCTAGAGATGGGGTCAAACTGGATGCTGCGTAGGCAGGAGACAATTATGCGAATGGCGGTTCCATGAGATGTTAGAGGAATCGGTAAGCTTCTTGGGATACTTAATTACTATAGAAGATTGGTATGTGAGTTGGTATAGTATTTGGTCTCAATCAAGAACTTATTAAAGAAAGGTGCTAGGATTACTGTGACACCAGAGATGGAAAACAATATCTGGAAATACATGGGTAGATTACACAAGCAGAGCCGGTTTTGCCGTCCCCAGGCTTTATTAAACAATTCACTATTACCACCAATGCTAGCGAATACATGTTAGGATCCGTATTATTCCAGAAGAGAATTGGGGGGAACGTCCGTTAGCATAAGCAAGCCGACGCCTTACAAATGTGGAATCAAGATATAGCACCTCTGAAAGGGAGCTACGTGCTATAGTATGGGCTATTGACCATTTTAGGCCATATATATTTGGGAGAAAGTTCCGAGTCCACACCGACCACAGATCCCTTCAGTGGTTAGGAAATTGAAAGAATCCTCAGCTAGGGTCGTGCGATGGAAGGAATTTCTAAGCCAATATAACAGAAGTTGTTTATAAGCCGGGGAAGGAAATCATGGTGGTGGACTGGCTGTCTAGGGCCATAATGATCAATGCAGTAGAGGAAGACAGAGGAGGACCATCATGGGATGTATGCCAATTTTTGAGCGAATGGACGAGGGACGAGATGGTAGTGTAGGGACAGAGAGGGGAGAGGAGTCCCCAGAAGAAGAAAGTTCAGCAGATTATTGGCCAGTGAATATGGAAGGAATTGACAAAATCATTAACGATAAGCACCGCCAGGTGATTTGGAAGACGTTAATAGTGAGAACTATGAAAATTAATTTTGGGAAATATGGGAAAAGATTCATGTTATCTGGTCGTAACCTTGTATAAGTGAAGAGCAGATTTGTAGGGCATTAAAGGACACATCAGAAACAGGAAAAACCCACCATCTCTACGTTGGAAACAACACAATATGAGAAAAGATTATCAAGATGTGGAAGTCTGAGCGAATCGGCATGGACAGAACATTTATCCGATGCTAGTACTCAGTGGAAATGATAAAAGATAAGGAGCAACAAAAAGCAGTGACACTTGCATACCACCAGGAGAAAACCAACCGCCGAAGCGTAAATGAGACATTGAAAGGGTTGTGCAGAAAATATTTCTGATGGGGTATGAAAAAATCCGTTCAGGAAATTACAAGGAAGTGCGAAGTATGTCTGCGCATGAAGTCCGATAGACACCTCCCTTGAGGAGGAATCCAGGAGGAGACACCTACTGGGGACACACCTCTTCAAGACCTCCAAATCGATATGTGTAGAGGGTTCAAGTGGGTCACTATAATTGACCTCTTTTGTAAAATAGCTATGGCATATCAGGTCCTGGATAAATCAGCCAATGTAGTCATTGAGGCCTTACAAACCTGTTTGCAGTTTTATGGTGTACCCAAGAGAATCACATCCGATGAAGGGAGAGAATATGCCGGGATTAGGGAAGAGGCGGAACGGTTAGATATTACCTAGCACTTCAACACACCAGGACACCATAAAAGTTGAGGCAGCATCGAACGGTTGCGCTGTACCTTGAGTGATCACATCTGCGTGTATCAGGGAGAGAAGGGTTTAGAGTTGAATATCGCAATAAAAAAAGCTGTAACAGCATATAATCATTCGATTCACTCCATCACTGGATTTACACCCGTTGAAGTACTATTCGGGATGTGCGGGCAGAGACGAGATTGTGGGAAAACAACGACCAATGAACCGAGAGTGGAACAAATACTTAGTAATAGGGTAGAAGTAGGAAAAAGTAAAGGGAAAAATTGAGCAGTTGAGGAAGTAAAGAAGAGTTTAGAGAGTGAGAATTTCCAAGTGCGAGTACCCTCCAAGTACCCTCACCTTTAGAGGCAGGAAACATTTTTTTGTAAATAACATATATATATATATATATATATATATTTCTGTTTCATTATTGTTAAAATATTGTAGCAGTAGTGAACAGTGAAGGAAGCAGAACACTAAGAAAATGTCTGTTAGATGTATGTTGATATGTAAATATGACTATTTCATTTTATTTTCTGTTCTTTGGGTGCATTTTTGTTGTATAGTTGAGGAATTATTTTCTTTTTAGCTGATAGAGTTTTTGTTTTCACATCATTCTTTGGGATGATGGTGATGGGATCATGGGGATGGTGATGGGATGATGGGGGGATCATGGTTATTTTCACATCATTCTTTGGGATTTTTTCATATTCTCTTTCTATTGTATCATAGAAAATATCCTTTTCCTCCTCTTCTCTATCCTCTGTGGGTACATGTACACACATGATTGTTATTTTGAAAAATCTTCCTCTAAGTCGTACTGTGTAGATTCTTTCATTGATGATTTTATGCTCTATTATAGTGTTAGGGCTCTGTCTAATGACAAACATCCTAGACAACTTAGCCTATAGCATGCGCAAGCTGGTGCAACCTCTTTGGATCGAGAGATCGATTCTAGCCACCTGTTGTTTTGAGTGCAAGCACTATTGTTTAACAGTCTACATTGTTTTTTTGGTTCATTATTAGTGGCCTGCCTGCATGCAGTGTAGTGAGCCCTCACAGTTTACAATAGTTTAATTTACAATCTTATATTCAGTTAGTTATTGTAAAGTATTTTGTTAGTAGTATACAAATTTTAGTTAGTTTTAGTTGATTTCTTGCTTTCTTTTTGTTTCTATATTATTGCGTTCAGAGGTATGTTTTTATTTTCTAATTTTGTTTTTACCAGGCGTTTTATTTATTAAAGATTTTTTTTGTTTTGTAAGCAGTTTTTTATTGAACGAACCTGTAGAATCCTTAAAATAGTATGCTTAATGTATATATGAAAGAATATTTTACGAATAAAGCAGTATTAATTCTGAAGTCATGAGTGTTCTATCTCAAACCTTTTCCTTTTTTCTTATTATTTTAGTTCACTGATGCTTAACTTATGTACATATAAGAAATAAGATGTGAGGAAGAAGGAGTTATAAGGATAAGGGAGATGTAAAAGGAACTCGAGGTCGACGTGAAACATTTATAGTGGTTATAATGATTAAGAATTTTTTAATAGATTAATAATTTGGGAATAGGTGAGGGACAAGTTTTGTTTGTCTGTTTTTAAGTTAAATGGTTTGTATTCTAATTGAATGAAAAAGTTTTATTAGTACCATAATTTAATTTGATAAACCTGTTTCACGTTTTTTGTTGAATAGGAAGCCAATGACATAAAAAATATTTGATTTAAGTAATTAAACATTGCTCCATAGTAAACTAGACAAAATTTACTTTAAAAAAAAGCAGAGTTTATCATTGTTAAAACTATTTAAATAGGACTATTGAGCGGACAAACACAGCTAAGCTCTGTTTAAAAAAAAGTCATAAATTATTTGTGATTTTTTATTGTCACCCTTCAACTGTACTACATTTACCCCAGTTTTAGAAAAACATCCTCGTTTATTAAACTTTAAGTACATATTAATTAAGTTGAGGTTTATTGAGGTCTCAACCCCATATTTATGATCCTGATATTCCCGGATTAGAGTGTCAGAGCACATGGCTAGCACTT